GAGGTGCTTTAGGGGAATGAGGGGTGTGATAGTCCATTCAGAGAAACCAGGGGGCTTCAGGCTGGAGGGGTGTGCAGCTGCCTCAGAAACAACCAAAGAGATGGGGGGCACAAAGCGCTATGGCTCAGGAAGGGAGAAACAGTGCCCCTAGGACAAGCACATAGCAGTTCTCCAGTGATTCCCAGCCCCTCACTGGGCCACTGTGGGGATTTTCAAACACGTAGAGCAATCTCCACCCCAGAGCCAACTTGTATACCGGGCCCAGCATGAGCAATGGGGCTTCAGGGCAGGAGGGACAAACCATTTTCAGGGGGGCCAGCATCCAGCCGTGTGATGGGCATGCGTGCTAGTAAAAGGTGAAGAGATACACGGGATCTCCCACCCCCTCACAGTGCCTTCTGTTACTTTGACTCTAGATATTAAACCTCTGCTGGGAGGCCAGATCCACCACCGACTGAAACCCAAGGTGATCCCTGTTCTTGAAGACATCAGGGCCATGGGCACAGGTGAGCTGTGGGAGAGAGACAGCCGGGAGACAAGTCTGTCCCAGGAGGCCCTGGATGTCATGGGTTTCCACCCCCTCTGTTGTCTTTCCTGAGGGTGAGAGCCATAGCATGTGGCCCCTGCACAAAGCTCGGGGGAACACCGTGCCACTCTTAGAAAGCTTGTGCCGCAGGCTGTGTGCAGATGGTGCAAATCCATTGGAATAACGGTGGCAGACTTTGATAGAGACCCAGCACCTGTTCGGGTCAATAAAGTTTTATTGGAACTCGCCCAAGCCATGCCTGCCTGTGAGGGTTTCATCCGTGGCTGCTTGCGCCCGAGGTGGCTGCTGCGTTGAGTTGCTGTGGCAGGGACCCTTGACCTGCAAGGCTTGAAGTGTTCGTTATTGAGCCCTTTAGAAGGTGGGGGTGTGGCTTGAGTGGTGTTGGGCTGCTCATTGCAGGGTCAGCAGTTCAAACCTACCAGCTGCTCCCTGGGAGAAAGGTGAGGTTGTCCGGCCCCTCAAAGATTTCTTGTCTTGGATACCTTGTATGGCAGTGGTTCTCAATCTTCCTAATGCCGCGACCCTTTAATACAGTTCCTCCGGTTGTGGTGACCCCCCAACCATAAATTTATTTTCATTGCTACTTCATAACTGTCATTTTGCTACTGTTATGAATCGGGCGACCCCTGTGAAAGGGTCGTTCGACCCCCCAAAGGGGTCTCGACCCACAGGGACAGCTCTGCTCTGTCCTATCGCCTTGCTGTGAGCCGGAGTCAACTTGATGGCAGGGAGAAGCCTTGCTTCTGGGGTCCCTGGGGCTACTGGCAGTTACCATGCTCAGCTGCTAACCCAAAGGTTGGATGTTCGAGTCCGCCCTGAATTGATTTAGAAGGAGGGCCTGACGATCTGCATCTGAACAACCAGCCATTGAAAACACCATGGG